TATAACTCCTCAAATATCTCGTCTCAGCTCACAGATTTACACTTTCACTGCTCTGTTTGTGTAAATCGTCTAATTCTGACTCTGTCTCCGTCTCTCCAGGCTGATATTTGGTCTCTGGGCATCACGGCCATCGAACTCGCCAAAGGAGAACCTCCGAACTCGGACATGCACCCCATGCGAGTCTTGTTCCACATCCCCAAGTCTCCTCCCCCGACGCTGTCCGGAGATTTCTCCAAGAGCTTCAAAGAGTTCTGCGAAGCCTGCCTCAACAAGCAGCCTTCATTTGTAAGACGTGTTTCTGTAGACTTCTGTAACAGCTCAGAGGACTGACTTTATACCCTTATTTTAACATTTATCAGACAGTTTTTGGGACTTTAATTCCACAAGAAGCAGCAAAAATATTGAAGAGATCTTTATCTGTGCCTGAACACGACTTCCTTTTAGCCATTTTGTTCCTATTTCCGTATTAAAAACAGGTTTTATCTTACAGCTCAGGCAGCCGTGAACCTCCAACAAGACGTTTTCGGTCGTTTTTTGGCCGCACAGTTGTGTAAAAAGTAACACCTGAAAGCTGTCTACCTTCTCCGAATGAGATCTGGCGCCTAATCTTGTCTTTAGATTAGATTTAAACATGATTCCCACTATCGGTTTTGTTTATGTTTGAGGTGAAAATGACCAGGAACCTGATCAACGGTCTAAGTTACTGTAAAATGTGGACCCATGAGCCAGTTGCTGCTTTAAACTGAATGAATTATACAAAAAAACAGTGAAAGTCAAGGATATTAAGTATGTCTACACCTTCACCGTCTAAAATCAACATTTTTCATCTTGAATATCTTTAAATAATCCGTCTTTTGCTCATTATTCCCTGTTTTTTAAGAGGAATACCTGTTTTTCATGTCACTCTTTATGAGTCATCTTCCTTGTCTGAGTGATTGGAGTTGCGTCTGCTGCCCCCTGGTGGACAAACAGCCTCTCTCCTTCTCTTTCAAAAACTTCTACTGAGAAGTTCCTTTTGTCTTTTTCTTCAGCGTCCCACAGCCAAGGAGCTCCTCAAACACAAGTTCATCGTCAAACACTGCAAGAAGACGTCCTACCTCAGCGAGCTGATCGACAGGTACAGACGGTGGAGGGAGGAGGGGCACAGCGACAGCAGCTCCGACGACTCCGACAGGTACCTGAACTGTTTAAACATTACTGTGTTTGTGTGTGTTTTTGTGGAGGATGTGCTGTGTATAACCCGAGTGTGTGTTTTTATTAAAGTGAGTCCAGTAATAAGGAGAACAGTGAGTCACCTGAGTGGTCCTTCACCACGGTACGTAAGAAGAAGACGGATGGAAGGAAGGTCCTCAACGGGGCGGTCAGTATCTGCTCTGTGTTTTATTAGACTAACTCAACTAACACTAACTTTTTATGTGGAGGGAAATACTTAGACTCTAACCCCTTTTAACCCCTGTAATTAAAAAGTATTTCTGTTCTGGTTATCTGAGTTTTACTGTCTACTATTAGCAGCTCAGCTCGCAGCCTTTACAGCTCTACAGAAACTTCAATTCCTAGTTTCACTGCTGGTCTTAGTCTTCTTTTTTTGATCACTGTTCATGGAAAATTTGAAGGTCTGGAAATAGTCGTCATAAAGGCTGATTCTTGAGAGAGACAGTGGCAGCTCAGCTCGCAGCCTTCAGAGCCCTGTGTTGGCCTAACCCTAACATGTTAACTGAAGCACTTTAGCGTAGCATATTGCTTGTTTATTTCCTGTTTTTTTTTCACATTTTTATCAGGATGAAAACTATTTAGGTTTGAACATTTAGAAAGTATCTGAGAGCAAACAACAGCTCAGCTTGCAGCCTTCAGAGGAGCCTTGAAGAAATTTGTTAAAGTGTTTTGTTGTTTGTCTGAGTGCTGCTGTTTTTGGAAAATTTGAAGGTCTGGAAATAATCTGAAAACAAGGTGAATCTAGAGACAGTAGCAGCTCAGCTCACAGCCTTTACAGCTCTAGAGAAAATGTGAAGGTGTGGAAATAGTCGTTAAATAGGCTGAATCAAGAGACAGTAGCAGCTCAGCTCGCAGCCTTCAGAGCCCTGTGTTGACTTTGTAGAAACATGTGAACTGAAGCACGTTACTGTCCCACAATGCTTGTATTTTTTTTTTCTTTTTTTAATCAGGATGGAAAATTTCAAGGTTTGAATGTTTAGAAACTATTTGAGAGCAAACAGCAGCTCAGCTTACAGCCTTTACAGCTCTGGAGAAACTTGTATTTATAGTTTTACTGCTGGTCTTAGTCTTTTCCTATCACTGTTAATGGAAAATTTGAAGGTCTGGAAATAGTCATGGAAAAGGCTGAATTTAGAGACAGTGGCAGCTCAGCTCGCAGCCTTTACAGCTCTACAGAAAATTGAATGTCTTGCTTCACTGCTGGTCTTAGTCTTTTTTTTTTTGGATCTCTGTTTATAGAACATTTGAAGGTCTGGAAATAGTCATTAAAAAGGTGACTCTTGAGACAGTGGCAGCTCAGCTCACAGCATTTACAGCTCTACAGAAACATCTATTCCTAGTTTTACTGCTGGTCTGAGTCTTTTTTTTATCACTTTTTATGGAAAATATGAAGGTGTGGAAATAGTCGTGAAAAAGGCTGAATTTAGAGACAGTGGCAGCTCAGCTCACAGCCCTCAGAGCCCTGTGTTGGCTTTGAAAAATCTTAACTGAAGCGCTTTAGCGTAGCAAATTGATTGTGTATTTCCTGTATTTCTGTAATTATCACGATGGAATTTTTTAGGTTTCGAAAATTTAGAAACTATTTGAGGGCAAACAGCAGCTCAGCTCGCAGCCTACAGAAGAGCCTTGGAGAAACTCGTTAACTGAAGTACTTTTTGTGGTTTGTTGTTCATCTGAGTGCTGGAGAAACCATTTTCATAGGATAGAGAGTTTGAAGCTTGAAGGTTTGGAAATGATCTGCGAACAGGCCGAGTTAACAGCAGATCAGCTCGCAGCCTTCAAGGTCACTGTAGAAATATAGAAACCGCATTTTAAATGAGATAAATCAAAGCTAATGCAAAATGCAAGCTTTAATTCAAAGAAAATCATGTTTTTATGGCTTTTATATCATGTTTCAGTCCATATCAAGCTCTCAGATTTTCTAACTCAGTCCTCCTCCTCCTCCTCCTCCTCCTCTTCATCTGTGCAGGTTCAGGATCAGCTGAGTAGATCTGCCAGCCTGGCTACAGTCATCTCTCCGGTCTTCACCGAGGTTAGTCAAACACACCGACTGACTTGACAAACAAAACTCACGTTCGCACGATTTCAGCAGATTTCCATTCCTCTCTCCTCTCGTTCAGTTAAAGCAGCAGCACAAAGAGCACTCCGAGCAGCGATTGGCCATCGAGGAGCTGGAACGTAACATCCGATGTGTCGAAGACATCTGTCCAGGCATCACGGACAGGATGGTCACAAACATCATTGCCAGGTACCAGAAGTAGGTTTGTCTTTCTCTACGTCTGTCTGTTTTTTTCTTAGATGTCCGTCTTTACTTTTCTTTACTCTTCTGCTCTTTTTTATCGTTATATTTGCTAACCTCACATCTCTGATTTCATCCTTAGATTCTCGGGGAACTAACGGACGGATGGATCGAATTTTAAAAATAAAAATAAAAATATAGTTATGTGAAGAGAGACTGTGTCTCCGTACGGCGACGCTGCTGGACGATCGGAAACGAGGGGATTTGCTGTGCGATCTCTCCTCACTGTACACACACACACACACACATCACGCAAACAACACACATGCACACTACCAATGTAATATACACACTATATATATATAATGTATAAATGTGGACTCACTGCTGCTGGTCGACGCCCTTTTTTCCACACGAGTTTAACGTTTTCTTTCTCGAGCTTTATCTTAAATACCTCTCTGAAAATTCGCAGAACTTTCCTTCAAACTTGAGTCCACAAACACATCCTCACACCACCACCACAAAGTGCCTTAATACCTGATAATATTTGAACGGAGATGTGGCGTTTTTGTCGAAACCAAACGCAGGAACAAATAAGGGGTTTTTGGTCCATCAGCAGTGGAGTTAGTTTTGCGTCATGACTTGCCTTGACTTTGTAGATGTTGACGTTTGTTCAGTAGCACTTGAGACGGATTATATGCCAATATAACATTTTTGTTGTCCTCAGTCCTGCTTTTAATTTCAGCTCCCTGATCCTTGAATTGGTAAAAGTCGCGTCTTCCTTCGAGATCTGAGCACCTAGCGCACATACAGTTTAATTTCGTTAATTTAAGTTTAAGATTAATCAACGTTAAGTCTAGAAATATATTCATAGATGCTGCAGGAATCAAAGAAACCTTAAAGCCACATCCTTGAGCTTCGTAGTCGGATCAGTGTGGTGGTTATTTTGCACATTTTGAGGTGGAAAAAAAAAGTCGATACTTATCAAACATCGGGAAGCGGCGCCGGCTGGTCTTTTTCGGTAACATGAAGGGAGCTGTGATTAAAGCTTTTGCTGATAGTTTGTACCAAAGACACTATAAAAATTGGTCATTGTATATTTTTGCCTTTTTATATATCATAAGGGATACGTCAAAGCTTGTTAAGGGGGGATGTGTAAAATGAAAGATGTAAGATTTTACAGAAATGTACTCTTTTTTTTTTTTTGTAGCGGGACTTAGAGTTTTATGAATAAATATTTAAGTTTGATTGAGAAATAAATTGGATGTCAACCTTTTCCTTCTTCTTGGAAACAGGAAGTGCTTTTTTCTTTTTTGTTCAAATGTTTTATTGACAAAATCATTCACCTTAAATCAGCACAATTCAATTCAGACTTTCCATGTGTTACTCAGACAGTTACCTGCATTGACATCGGAACGGTACAACACTCAAAAACCAGAACGTCTGTTCTCGCACTTTGTGAATCAAGATGAGCGAAACCCGAAGGAGTTTGTCGTCTTTAAATACCGGTCCGAGCTCGGGATCATCCTGGGGTCTGAGATAAAGAAGTCTAAGGGGGACTTGGACTACAGGACAACAGATCTGGATTCAAAAGTCGTTGGCACTCCGTGATCAGTTTCTGGGTTTTTTAAGTGTTAGCGCTGATAATGCTGAAAATGTGATCTATTCATTTCTCCTGTTTGGAATTAATTTACAGATTAGCAAAACAGCTAAACTTCGTGGAGGTCTTCACAGTTGCGACTTATATTCCACATTTTTTACTGAGTTGAATTTCATTTAAGCTCTTGTCAAATGAAATCGATGTGAGGCCAGATATTTCTGACAGATGTGTGTCCCATCTGGCAGAAACATCTCTGGGTTTTCTCCATGAGTATGAAAAAAAAAGTCAATTACAGTTCAAACCAAAATCTTTAAAAAGTCTAAATTTCTCGTTTGGCAATATTGAAGGGGTATTCCGTCGTAAAATTAATTGACCAAACACGGAATGTTTATGGCTCCTCAGACCGCTGTGTATTGCTATCATGCGGTCGTTACTAAAGTTGGTATAACTAGAGAAGCAAGCGGTCGGCAATTTTACGCGGAATGTCCCTTTAAGGTAAGAGACTAGTAGGCTGGTACAGCTTGTCTGACCCTCAGTGGTCACTAGAAGGAGCGCTTAAATACACAAAAACATGACAATCCTTCAAATCCACAAGCTTGTACCCATGACACCCAAGAAACTGAGGTTTTTGCTAAAACAAGGCATAACGTTACATTTCATCTGCCAGTACGCCTCAAAACATCTCACTTGTACGAGTAATGCTAATACTTTTACCACGACTGTCTACTTTGCTTTCACTTGATGAGACTCTGAACCTTTGCAGTCCTGCACAGAGTTTTCGTCTCCGTCTATAGTGTGACTTCGGTAACCTTCGCAGGACTTTTCGTCTTGTCTCCTTCTTCAGTCTCGTCTTTCTTCTCTTCTTCAGCCTTTGACTCTTTTTGTTCTTTCTCCTTAGCTGCTCCATCCACAGTTTCTTCCTCCTCCTCCTCCTCTTCTTCCTCATCCAGTTGGAGGCTCCCAGACGAGTACCTCATCCTGGCGAGTCCAGCAGACCGAACCATTTTCTCCATTGGGGGTGGTGGGCAGTAGTACGGGTAGAAAACCTCGGGTTCTGAATCACTGTAGCCTCCTGCAGAGCCGCCAAACATGCAGAGTGAGGCGGGTCGTTCGGGTAAAGGGGAGGAGTTTAACGGGAGGTATGTAGGTCTAGAGGGGCGCGTCAGGTGAGGGTAGTAACCAAGGGGACGGAATTCAGAGGCGGGATTAAAAGCAGGGTTGGCACTCCTCGATAGGTGAAACTTGACGTCTGGTTGGCTGGCAACACGGCGAGGCAGTCCTGGGAGGAAGTTTGAATCATCGCTGTAATGTCCCGCCTCGTGTCCGACACCCATCAGTCTTGCCCCATTGCTTCCTGGGTGATAGAACCTCGACAATCCCAGCCCACCTGAGCCTGAGGGGCGGAGGTTTCTCCGTATTGGCGACATGGACGGGGAGTCGTGTCGTAATGGGTAGAAAGTCGGCCGAGATAAGCCATCCACTGGCACATATTCCCTCCTCCTCGGCTGTGGAAAACGCTCCAGAGAGGAAACCGCGACGTAATCCGATAAGTATGGATGTCTGCTGAGGGGTGAGGCACCTACTAACGGGAACGTTGGGAGAACTGGGTGATAATGGTAGGCAGGAGTATTCGGGTAGAGCAGAACCAACTGCTGAGCGGCATCTGGGTGCGGCTGCGGGTTGGGACGACGTCGTGACCGGTTGCCGTAGACGCCAGCCAGCCTTTGGGCTTGGCGGTAAGCCCCTAACCGTCCCCCCCTCACGTCGTCCATCACGGATGTAGAGGCACATCTCATCTTAGGAGAGGGGGCAAACTGGTGAGGGGACGGAGACAGTGGGGTGACTCGGATGAAAGGGCGAGTCCTGGGTGGGTACTCATAGGATGATTGGAAGCGTCCAGCTCCGCCTCCATCCATTTCTATGTCATCAACGCCTTGGCGATATGGATCCATCTCATCTTCACTGTGGACCCCCAAAGCATGACCGGATCGAAGGAAGTCTTGAGGGTGCTCGTACAACTGAGGAGGTAAGATCGACAAATGCGCTTGTAACCTTTATTTGGACAAAACTAGATATCTTGGTTGCATCGTCTATGCTGAGAACTGGTGGATAGTCATTTCTCTTACCTGCTTTGAGACATCCGTCAGAAGATCAGGAGAAGAACGACAGTGTCTGGGGTCAAAGTCGGACTGGCAGTAGGTCCTGAATGGGAGACATCATCAACATATGACTTAACATTTTCACAATGGTTGTCAAGCTAGCACAATTACACAGTTTGGACCTTGGTCAAATGAGATACGAACTTTAATGTCTTGGTTTAACATACCTCATCATTAAACTCCATCGCATCGAGGTACATCGCGGAATCATTGTACTCTTTGACAGAGGGGGGGGTTTTCTTACCGGTCAAAGTGTGTAGTCTTCTTCTCCCTTGTTCCCATGCACTCCAGTAGCTGTTTTTGGGTCCGACCACTGCCACAGAAAAAAGCACATTTAATATTTAAAGAAAGCAACACTGACTATCCAATCAGACAAGGGCTGCTCGTTTTGGACTTAGCTAGTTTTGTCTCGTGTTTCTTGGGGGAGAACTGTAGGTGGGCTTCATACTGGGTCTATATGGGTTTATTGTGGTTCACTTGGGAGAACCCATGATTGCTAAATGTGTGGTATTCCCATTTAGAGCTCAGTTTGTTTACTTCAGTTGCTCATGTGGCCCCTGGAAGTCCCTGTTGTGGGACATGCCAAGTTGGAGCCCACTTGTGCAGTCAAGGCATATGTAAACAGGCCTAATACAGAAGCCTCGGCTTGGCAAAATACATTTCTAGAACTGTGAAAAGTTGATCTGTATTCAGTTAAAGTATGAATTAAAATGGGCACTGAGATTGCAAGACCACGGAATCGTGCAGTGCCGAGCAACAATAGTGTTGGCAGTCGTTTTTTAGGCTAAGTATTTTGTGCTTGAGCTAAAACCTTTCGAACATCGGGGAAACCAGACAGTTCTGTGTGCTTTACCTGTATCTAAAACTGGATCCTTTACTGGACAGCAGAGTTTTGTGGATTGCCTGCGGCTCCTCTGCCAGTCTGAAGAAGGCGTGGTACTCTACGCACATCTTCCAGAAGGACTTGCAGACATCTCGACTGGCCATGGAGAACTCTAATATGTCCTTACCTGATGGCTGGATAGAAACCGAACAACATGAACATAAAGTCGTGAACATAACAACTCATGTCAACCCATCAGAAAACGTAAACGATTGATTTTTACCCCGACTTTGTCATGGAGTTTGATGAGGAAATGTTTCCGCTTGAAGCTGAGCTTTCGGATGTTGGCCCAACTGAAGGTGTTGATTTTGGTGTTCCCCTAAAAAGTGCGAGAAGACAACAGTCCTTAAACATCCATACACTTTAAATACATCAACAACAACCTGGTAGTCAAGAGTGTCTCTCTACCCTTGCGCCTATCTTGCCTTGATATCAGGTACTGATGGTCCGGATTTCAGTTTTCAGCACTTACATCATAAAAAAAATTAGCCATCCTTGCCAACTGAAGGAAAAACTCATCTGCATAGATGGCTTTGAAACCATCAACCACCTACCTGAAAGACCAGAACTCCAGAGTGTGTGACAGCCAGGTTGATCCTCATCCCCTCCCCGTCGTGGGCAGGGTGAGGCCTGATGCCGTACATGTCCAACTTCCTAGCGACCTCCAGTAGGTGGATGTCCGATTCTGCAGGAGATGCACCTCTAGAGAAACAAGAAGGACCCGGAATCAAGCACAGACTCAACCTTAAGAATTCAGCGATGGATGATTGCTAAAGATCTCCTTTGGTGTACCTGTGCTTTTTGTGAAACTTGATGATCTTGTGGTCGATATACTCCTGATTGGGGACGTACTGCTTCATCTCCAAGTGCTGACAGTCCAGCTCGTCATCGTAGTCCCCTATTTCTGCTGCAACACACCAGCAGGTACTTCAAGTTTGCAATCAAGTAAAGAACACTTCGATATGAGGCGACGCAGAAGTGTTGGAATGCTTACACTGCAATATATGTGAGACCAGCAGGGCGGCACTGTTGTCGTGACAGGTCAGACTGCCGTTAGACAAGTCCTGCTTCATCTGTAAGGCAAAAAGATACCTACAAACACACAAAGATGACATTTTAGACGATGAGATATACCTTTGTGCAGTGTATGGAGTATTTATGACGGGCATTGCTACCTGGTGAGGCCTCGCTTTAGTTGTCCAGGGTCCGGTGGAAAGAACTTCACTATAAACCTGAAGAACAGATCATTGGTGTCTTGGCGGAAACGAAAGAAAACATCTGTTAGAGGCGGATGATGAAGAAATGCAGATAAAAATTTGTTTCCTTTGACTTACATTTAATCTGTTTAGCAAGCGGCTTCAGCAGCTCCAACCACACCTGCGACGGAAACACGTTAAAATCAGCAAATCAATCAGTAATTTAGGGTTTTGTTCTGGTACGATTTCCTTACGTAGCTGCCGCCGTGGTGCCTGAACTCCAACCCGAAGTACTCCTTCTCCAGCAGCTTGAGATGACCGCACACTTTGTTGAAAAAGTCTCCGCCCAGAACCTTTTGCTGAAAGAGAGTAAATTAAAGTAGAGGCGGATGGGATGATTGGATTTTATAATCGAGGACTCTCGGGGGAGTACGGCTCAGATCCCTCTAACCTAGCGTGAACTTTGCAGAGTTAGTGGTATCACTGCGAGTCCAAAAGAACAGAGTAATACTTGACTCCACTGTGTGTGTGTGTAGGTTCAATGAGTGTTAGTTATCTGCTAGCTGGTGTTTAGCCCCCTGCTGGGAGTCGCTGGTTGTCCCTCATTAAGTTGTCATTATAGGACAGAGAGAGAGCGAGGAAGAGGAGGGGATAGAGCAGCTGTAACTGATTATAAAGAGGAGAAAGGCCTAGCTGATGATTAGTAGAAACAAATGGGCGTCTCCTGAACTCAGCAGTGAGCCGAGGTAGAAGTGAGTGCAAATGGAAGTCCAGTATGGAGGTGTCGGGAAAGCTTTATTTGAAATCCACATGATTCCTGCTCAACTTTTGGTCGCCATGTTCAGCACAGCGTGGTCAAGATAACAAGGTTGTGTTTAGGCCAGCTGACCCCCTCCATACCCTTGAAAGTGCGTATTTAATCCGTCAAACGCCAAACATTTACACTATCTATAACAACATGAGGTAGAGTCTATTTAAACCCCTGTACATCCGTCCATTCATCCTTTTCCTGTCTTCCCTTTATCACTCCCTCCTCTTCCTCCTCCTCCTCCTCCTCCTCCTTCTGCTCTTGTAAAGATGCTACTAATGTCCCGGGGGCGGCCGGGAAACTGACAGAGAGAGCATGGGCGTGGAAAATGGACACACACACACATCTGCACACACACACACGGTCAGTGAAAGTCTCTTTTTAGGTTACGTTACTGCCTTGTAGGCCACCATGTTGCAGTTATACTCGGCTTTCCCAGGAATCCACAGACCACATGACGTCAACCAATATTTAATCTTTAGTTTAATCTTGAAGCACACTTATGGAGTGTTTTTTTAGTTGATGAATGTTTGCCTACCAGTTGCAAATGCTACCTCTAGCTTTATTGTGTGTAACACTGGGACAGGGGTGGAAGGGATAACATGAGCCCAAAATCAAAAACCGAGTATTTGCGATTGAGATTTAACTATTTTGACCATGTTGGAACAAGCTCTCGGTTGTTCTCTTCGCATTTAAATGACACGTATGGTGCATTCGAGTTACCTCGGAAGTCAGATGTCGGAGCTGGGAATGACGCGGCACCCGAGTTACCATCGTTTCAGTTGCCGAGTCGGAAAAAATCAAAATCGGAGGAAGAAACAAGATGGTAGATGTAGTCCGAATATAAGTAACTTCGGGACAAATTTGCGATCCTTCTGCGACATGCGAATACGGTGGATGAGGAGGCAACACAAAGGCGCAGAAGGTAGCCTGTTTTTTCTTTATAAGTATTACATTATTTATAAAAAGTATCTATCGCCGTTTGATCGGTCATGAAAATGGCTGAAACTACCAGGCTTTGGTTAGCCGTTGTTAGCCACTGTTAGAACTGGCTTTGTAGTTCGCATATACACATGAAAAATGTAAATTACACTATGACAGCATTTCCATAAATATACATCTAATAACACTTTTGTAGCCCGAGCCTCAGGCTGACTTATTGCGACAACAAATAATAAAAAGTGTTAATAAAAGGATTATAACAGGAGCTTCAATTTACAGTTTACAACTGGCGCCCTCATCTTTAAAAGTCAACTCGGGGGCTGTGTTGATCATCCGACTTTCCGAGTCGGAAATCAGACCGTGTTCGTTCCAGTTGAAAGTTCCGACCCAGAGCTCATAAATTCCAACCTACAAGGACAACTGGAATGCACCATTGTTGTCCTTTATCCTTCTTTTGGTACTCCTAGTTGTATGCACAGGGTCGCTATTACCCCCACTCATGGAGCTACGCTGTTACATTCACGTCACATTACGTTATATAGATCTATAGATTGCGTGTAAGCTTGAACGTTACCTTTCACATTGATGGAAGAGGGTCCGACAGGGTTTAATGCGTTCGTTGACAACGCAAAACAAGTCGAAAATAATGTTGTGTGTTGTCGTGCTAACACAGTGCCAGTAGAAATCATTAGTGGCGCATTAATACTAACGATCATGTGAAATTTCAGTAGTGGCGCATGTTATTGAATTAATTGAATGTAGGGGAAACACTGCTATTGATTATTTTTACAAGTGTGGAGACAAACTTTATTCCACCCCTGCATTTGTCAGTCCTCTAGTTTGGCCACCCCAGTTACCAAGAAAGTCTAGATACGCCCCTGCTTACATCAATCATGGTGGATAGTAATTAAAAAGTAGGATACATGTTGTACTAATATGTGATTTTAAGGGCTAATGTTTGTAAAAGCATCAAAGTAAAGGCAAATTCAGCCACTCTTGGTTAACATTATAAGTTCTGTTATGCTGAATTGTGATTTTTTTAATGTGAATTTATCATATTTATCAACCTGAACAGGCTGTACAAAGACAAAGATGTCATTCTATTCACATTTTTGGACAAAAAGAGAGAAATTTTACTTTTTTAAGGATGAGAATAGCAAGAAAACCGTGTTATTAATGTATAAAATGTGATTTAAAAGCAGATCTGACGCCTCGTACGACTAAAAATCTCATAAATTCATAAAAATATCGTATTTTTCAGATGAATTTATCGTTTTAACCGCATTTAAATGTCTGACAAACTTACCTCCACCTCAAACGTGCGCTCGCTGTCATCCAGGAAGATCACGCGCAGCCGGAGCTTCGTCTCCTTGGAGACCCGGGACTTGCTCGTGAGTCTCTCGAGCGTCCGTGTCCTCCTCGGTCGGTCCCCCATGTCCCCCCCTCTCGTCTCTCTCCCCC